GTGTGCAGTTGGCATGTGTGTCAGCTGGGAGAACCAAGACCCTTTCCACTTGCTCCTGGCCTTCCTTTCCTGGGAGAGTGGTGACTCCTAGCGGCTTGTGCTGGGCAGTTGCATGCAGACGAGGTCTCTGATTCTTGCCCAGCCGTTGTGGAATAAGTTCCACGGTTGCTGTGGGCGTAGCCAGCCTCAGGCTGCTGCGCTGCTATTGCGGGGCCGCACCAGAGGGGGAACGGGTGGGAGGTTGTTTGATCGCCACGAGGGACCTCCAAGCTGTGCTGCCACCTATGGGGTTAGGGCACCCAGAGTTCCCCGGGATTCCCAGCTCCTGGGCTGAGTACACCAGGATGCTTCTGTCCAGCTGTGATGACCCTGTCCCTTTAAAACTTTCAAAAAGCGCTCGCTTTTCTTTTGTTCCAGGGGCGCCAGCTGTGGGGACCTGTTCGCAGGTTTTACTGTCCCGTTTCCCTGGTATCCAGCACACCACGCACTGTGTGTCTGCTGTCCCGGTGCGGATGGCTAGGGCTGGGTGTTTAGCAGTCCTGGGCTCCGTCTCCCTCCCCAGTGCTCGGGTCCCACCGGGCCGCTGCTTGTATCTTACCCTCTTTGCGAGGTGCTGGGTTCTCGCAGGTGTAGATGTAGCTTGGCTGTTGTCCTGTATCTTCTGGTCTCTTTTAGGAATCGTTGTATTTGTTGTATTTTCAAAAATATATGTTTTTGGGAGGAGATTTCTGCTGTCCTACTCACACTACCATCTTGGCTCCTTTCAGCTACCATTTTTATGGTGAAGTTTTCAAAGTGATTAACCTACATAGACCCATCCCCAGAACTCTAGATCCCACGTAGCCAAGTGTATACTAGAAATGGGCATCTGGAGGACCTCCTACAGTCTCAAACTGATGCTGTCTGAGCAGAGCTCTTCTGCCTCCATAGCTTTTATTCTAGCTCAGCCTACCCAGCTGTCCAAGCCAGAAATTTCTTACAAGTACATCAGTAAACAGTCTGGGGCATACCAGTGCCTTCTTTTCTTGCCAGTTCCATTTAAGTGGTCTTGGCAGGCCTCTCTGTCTCTGGTCCTTCCCCTCTCAAGTCTGTTGTCATCCCTACTGCCAAACAAGTTATTTTAAATTTCAAGTCTGATCATGTCACTCTCCTGCATAAAGCCCTTGAGGGCTCCCAGTAGTTCATGTAATGATAAACAACTTCGTCAGAGGTACAAAACTTTGCTTACTCTGGCCTTGTCTTTTTATCACCATATCACCCCATTCTCTCCCCCAAGAATTCACCTTTCCATCTTTGCTCACAGAGTTGACTTGACCTGTAATTCCTCCTTTCCTCTTATTTAAGAATTCAAAAGCTAGTATTTGTCCTTCACAATTTGGTACATGTGCCATTTCTAGAATCCTCTTGTGAACTCTACTCACAGTAAAAACTGGCTACTCCATCCTTTCAGACTTCCTGGGTGACCTGGACTGTTTAGAGATCTGTATTCACATGGATGTAGAAGGACCTTGAAAGGAGGAACTATGTCATAGTTAGTGTGTCTCTGTGACTAAGCAATGCTTGGCACAAAATATACTCAACTGGCCACATCTTCAGAGCATGTTACTAACCTCTGTGCTAATAAAAGGCCAGCCTGACGGTGGCGTAGGCTTGAATTAGCACCCTGGAAGCTGTCAGTACCACCCTTAAGCTCCCAGGCTTAAACAAGCTGAGGGTGCTCAATAGATACCTGACAGAGCAGTGCTAAGTTGCAGTGACCAAAGGATGAGCATGACTTTCTATAGCAGTGCTCCAAGAGCACCTGCCTAACTTGGACTCTGCCCTCCCTTCTCACTTGCTTTTATTTTTAGGAGCATGTTGTTAAGCCTCCATGTTTTTGTGGGTTTTATTGTTTTCTTTGCATAATTTATTTCTAGTTTCCTACCTTTGTGATCTGAGAAGCTGGTTGGTACAATTTCAATCTTTCTGAATTTACTGAGGCTCTTTTGTGGCCTAGTATGTGATCTGTTCTGGAAAAATGTTCCATGTGCAATTGAGAAGAATGTGTACCCTGTTGCTTTTGAGTGGAGTGTTCTGTAGATTTGTTAGGTCCATCTGTTCTAATGTGGTGTTCAGTGCCTGTCTCATTTTCTGTGGTTGATCTATCCTTTGGAGTGAGTCATGTGTTGAGGTCCTCTAAAATGAATGCATTGCATTCTAATTCCCCCTTTAATTCTGTTAGTATTTGTTGCATATATTTGGGTGCTATGTTAGGTGCATAGATATTTATAATGGTTATATTCTCCTGTTGGACTGAGCCCTTTATCACTGTGTAATATCCTTCTTTGTCTCATTACTTTGTTCTGAAGTCTTTTTTTGTCTGATACAAGTACTGTAACTCCTGCTTTTTTCTCCCTATTAGTTGCATGAAATATTTTTTTCCATCCCTTTACTTCTAGTCTGTGTATGTCTTTGGGTTTGAAGTCAGTTTCTTGTAGGCAGCATATAAATGGGACTTGTTTTTTTATCCTTTCAGTAATTCTATGTCTTTTGATTAGTGCATTGTCTTTTTACATTTAGGGTGATTATTGGTAAATATGTACTTACTGCCATTGCAGGCTTTAGATTCATGGTTACCAAAGGTTCAAGGGTAGCCTCTTTACTATCTAAAAGTCTAACTTAACTCAGTATGCTATTTCAAACACAATCTAAAGATTCTTTTTTTTCCCTCCCTTTTTCTTCCTCCTCCATTCTTTATATATTAGGTGTCATATTCTGTACTCTTTGTGTATTCCTTGACTGACTTTAATTTTACATTTGCTTAGTAATTAATTGGTCTACTTTCTTTACTGTGGTTTTATTTTCTCTGGTGACAGCTATTTAGCCTTAGGAGCATTTCCATGTAGAGCAGTCCCTCCAAAATACACTGTAGAGACAGTTTTTAAGAGGTAAATTCTCTCACCTTTTGGTTATCTGGAAATTGTTTAATCCCTCTTTCAAATTTATATTGGAAAGAGTATTCTTGGTTCCAGGCCCTGTTTCATTGCATTAAATATATCATGCCACTCCCTCCTGGCCTGGAAGGTTTCTGCCGAGAAATCTGATGATAGCCTTATGGGTTCCCTTTGTATGTGATCTTATTTCTCTCTCTGGCTGCTTTTAATAGTCTGTCCTTATCCTTGATCTTTGCCATTTTAATTATTGTGTCTCAGTGTTGTCTTCTTTGGGTCCCTTGTGTTGGGAGATCTGTGCACTTCCATGGCCTGAGAGACTATTTCCTTCTCGAGATTCCCCAAAGACAGTTTCTATCCCTTTCTCTCTCTCTTCTTCTGGTACCCCTATAATGCAAATATTGTTCCACTGGGATTGGTCACATAGTTCTCTTAATATTCTTTCATTCCTAGAGATCCTTTTTTCTCTCTGTCTTAGCTTCTTTGTATTCCCATTCTCTAATTTGTATTTCATTTACCGTCTCCTCTCTACCTCATCTAATCTGCTTTTTAATCCTTCCATTTTACATTTCATTTCAGATACTGTATTTTTTCAAAGTTTCTGTCTCTTTCTTGACATGCTCCCTGAGGTCTTGACTGTTTTTCTGTAGTTCCATGAGCATGTTTATGATTTTTATTTTGAAACCTTTATCAGGAAGATTGATGCTTTCAGTTTCACTTAGCTCTCTTTCTGGTGTTTGTGGAATTTTGGGTTGTACCAGGTTCTTTTGCCATTCATATTTGTAATGATTATTATGGAACAATAACTTTGTGTAGGTGGCGCTTTCTAGTGCCCAGAAGCTCTACTCTCTCAAGCTGCCCAGCACCTGGAACAATGGCAGGGTTCACAGGCAAGTGGCGCCAGTGCCTGCTGAGAGGAAAGAGCTCTTTCCTGTTTCCCAGCTGTGGTACCTGCCTCCACTGCCAGGGCCATTGGCCCAAGAATGCAGGGAGGAGCCTCTATGCTATGCCCCTGTAGGTGCTGTAGGCGTGGCTGCTCTCTGGCTGGCCTGAAGCAACTGGTGAGGGCAGCAGATTTGCAAGCTGGTGCTGGCCAGGAGGAAGGAGTGGCAGGCTGTGTATCAAAGTGAGGGGCCTCGGAACTGCATTGTCATCAAGGGGGATGGAGTGCCTGAAGTTCCCAACTTGCTGAGCTGAGTGCACCAGGATGATTTTGTCCACCTGTCCTTTCCCAAGCAGCCAGCTGTGTAATACTTGCCCCTTTAAAGGCCTTTCACTGTTGGGAAGTCTCTCAGCGTGCCCATCTTTCTTTTGTCCCAGAGCGGCCAGTTGTACCTGTTGTCCACAAGCAGCTGGAACCTGAGTCTCTCCAAGTATTCAGCCTGTCTTAGCTTTCCAACCCTGCTAATCTCCAGAGCACCATGTAATGTAGATTTGTGCTTCCAGAGCAGATCTCCAGGGCTGGGTGTTCTAGGCCTCCACCCCATTCCCACTCTGTTTCTCTTCCTTCTGCTGGTGAGCTGGTATGGGGGGAGGGCTTGGGTCCCTCCGGATTGTGGCTTTGCTATTTTATCCTTTTCTATGAGGTCTTCTCTTTTCCCCAGATGTAAGCAGTGTGTCACAGTATTCTTTCCTGTTGCTCTTTCAGGATTAGTTATATTTGCTGTATTTTCATATTATATGTGGTTTTGGGAGGAGTTTTGTGTCTCACTCCTCATACTGCCATCTTTAAGCTTCCACCTACATTCCCTTCTCACTTGCTTTAAACTACGACTAGAACAGAGAAGTCTGTGAGTCCTACCTTTGGAATTAATTTCCATTGGACTTGGCGGAGGCCTTAGGTGAATTGAGGACTCAGGAGTCTTGAATGAAAGTTAACCAGGAGCTTGAGAAGGCAGCCCATTGGGGCTTTGGAAGCTACCAACAGTAAGGTGGGAAAAGCACCCTCAGGCTCAAGGCAAGCCCCCAGCCCCTGAAGGGAAGGCAGAGGCCCTGCTCAAGGCAAGCCTCTTCCGGTCCCTTTTAACATCTTGACTTGCAATTTTATTTTCTGCTAGAAGACAACATGGACACAAATGATAGTATTTTATTATAGAAAAAGCATCCAAATACAGGATTTTGTAAACACTGGTAGGTGAACAAGTGCAACTTTCAAAGTAAATACAATGTAAAGAGGCAAAACCTACAAAACAAGCATTTTGCCTTTAAGAGGAAATGTAATGTTCTCCTACAGAGGTGGTCCCACCTTGAGCACGAATGTGGCTCCCTCTCCCATGAAGGCATCAGACTTGCTTTCTGAACTCACCGTGCCCATTTTAACGATTTCAAAATGGCAAGAAGTGGCACTCAATAAATTACTAGAACCCCTTCATTCTTAACTTTTCTATTAATGCTTGACAAAAAAGGCACCGTACCACGTTTTGACAATTTGAGTTAAAGCCTGGGCTGACTGTTTTCATTTTCATGGACCTGCATATTAGATATCACATTGTTCTCTTGGAAATTAGTTTAAAAATCACAATCTATTGCATATTGTGCAGTAAATCTAGCTACTGTCAAGCTTCCTTATCCTTTTTGATATCATTCTTTCAATACCTTTCCTCCACTATGGAGAAACCATTAAGTAAGCTCACCAGACACATTTTAACAGTTTGCCCTCCCTCCAGCTCCTCAATGGCAAATGTTTCCTAACCAGCTACACATGATCTGCAGATACAAACTCAGATTCTAAACCTTAAATTCAGGTTCATATTGGCTTGCTGAGATACCTCTGAGTAATAAGAGTCTGGGTAAAACCATTTTGTTATGAAAATGTTTCTGTATAAACAGCCTGGCATACTTATTTAGGCACTTAGAAAAAAAACACCAAACTTGAGTTCCACCTTGTTTTAACAGAAATACCTCTTGCCCAGCTGGCTAGTAGCTGACTCTGAAGGGAATAACCACAACCCAGCCCTTGTCCCTGAAAGGACTGAGAGGTCCTGCCATTTCAGAATAGCATGGTGCTGGGAACAGAGCAGCAATGGCTGAGGGGAGCCACCAAATTACATTGAGCTCCAGGCTGGGATTACAGAAACCTCTCTCCACCAGAAGGAACCTGTGAACCCAGCTTTCCCCTCAGTCACCACCACCTGGTGACACTTGCGATTTACCTCTGCAGATTCCCAGCTCACCTAAACCCCATGGGTTAGGGCCAAAAGCACGTTAACTAGTTCTTGAAAGCCTTGAGGAAATTAATATTTTACATAGAACAAAGTGTTAAGCACACACCATACTTTCATACCTGGTTTTTAACCTAAGCAAGGACTAGTTAGTTTTAGAGTGTTAGCTGCAGCATGTTCACACATAAATATTAACACATAAGACATATAACAGAAGTTATACATCTTATAGACTACAGAGTTAATTCAGATTTCCCTTGTGATGGCATGGAAGTAACCTGAAAAGCCTAAAGGAAGCACCATTAAAAAATTTTCTGGGCTGGTCAAGGTATGAATGTAGTACTAATAAGGTAGTATATGCAACCATACCTGACCTCAAATACAAGCCAATGAGTTTCAAAGATGAAACTACCCTCTGACTATAAAAGAACCCAAACCCTAACCCTAAACCCTAAACCATCAGCCTTACAAATGGATGCCAGTGATAACCAGAACCCTGTAGGTGGAAGATGGCTCAGTTTAACCCCTTACTACTGCTTTTTCTGAGTAAACATTGATTTCGACTGTGATGCTGGTCACAGACACACAGAACACACTTAAGAACTTGTTCTTGTTCTTCTAGCTTGGAAAGAGGAGCTTTTAACATCCATCTGACTTCACCTTTGGAGGACTGTGACTAGGACAGTCCTAAAATGGAATCAAGTAGCCTTGCCCTAATGTCTCATGGGGATAGAATCTTAAGAAAACCAGACACGTTCTTCTCTTAAGAACTTGAAAGAAACTAGATCTCTTTGTAATTTGTGATGAATAAGATGAATAAGTGCTCTGGGTAGGTAACCGGAAGGCCAGCCTTTACCACAAAATAGGAGATGATCCCAAGTCACATCTGGCTCTAGACTCTAAATTTAGTTGCGCTGTTAACAGCCACAGGGCCATCAGGGAAGGTGGTTCAGGATTAGGGAGGCTGGAGGGAGTGATCTGGGCTGTCACATACGGTGCACTGTTAACACGGGGCTGACAAAGCAGATAAAAATCACCAGACCTAATATCCCTTCGACTCAGCCTTCCTTTGGGGATGACAGCATAGTTTTCTTACCCATGTGAGCAGTGTGACAGGCTATTTCACAAATTGAAACATGCTGATATCCAAAGAAATTCCACTAACATGAAAGAAATATACAAAGAAAAAGACTGCACTGGGACAAAGCCTGGGTAGGTGACATTTTCCCACCCAGCTTCACCCCAAATGTCCCCTCTCTCTAGAGCTCTTAAGTCTGTTGAGAAACTGAGCACTTGTGAGAAATCTCTGCTTACATCTTGAAAGACTTTAAGGCACAGCTAAGGTCTTCCACCCATACCCACAGCAATGTGCCCCACTAGGGTGAAGACCTATGGCTTCACACCAGATTCCATACCAGGATAATCTCAGTGGGCTGGTTCAGAGAGGTTCTTTCACTTTCAGTCCAAATGAATACCAATTGTTTAGGCTTAAAAACCTCGAAGACTAAGAGGTTTCATGAACATTGTTATGCCAGTATCTTCTCTGTCAGAGAACCTGTGTGGTTTTGGATTGTTCACTGCATTTATGAAAAACAATAGTGAACTTAAACTCTTAAGAATTTCCTCTTGGACATTCTGAATGAGCCTAGTTCTTCCCAGCTGCAGTCTTCATCAGAGACCACCAGGAATGACATCTTCATTAGCATCTTGTAAGCATCCCATTAGCCTGCTTGAAGAAGATAGAGACTGTCTCCTTTTAAATTTGGTCCCTTTGCTGCTAAGTAATTTGCCTGGTATAAAAGAAAATGAAACAAAAGCCAAGAACAGAGTTTAAAGGATGAGACTGCCTTTGCTGAATATGAGGCAACAAGAGTCTTGACTTCCTTTCCTGCTTTTGCAGTTATGCAGAGACTCAGTGAACAGCACCAGACCCAAAATTTTCAAGTTACCAGAGCTGCTCCAAGCTGAAAGCTTAATTACCAGCAAGTGTTTTTCATCCCTTGCCGGAGGCACAGGCTTACTTAAAAGGACACACTCTAATTATGGAAGAAAGGCAAAGGATGAGGGAGAAGCGTATCTCCTATCAGGTGAAACAAACACTGGGGAAGACTGGCTGTGGGCATCCCAGACAGAGCAAACCTCTGAAGAGGGGCAGCCTCACAGCTGGCCCTAGTCCTGAAAGTCACTGGACACCATCTGCGAAAGAGGGGCATTTAGCCTGTCAAGTTCATCCACTTGGGGTGGGTGGTACATTAATATCTCCTGGTCCTCCAAGACATCTTCTCCAGCAGCTACCAGATTAGTGAGGGATTTGCTTCGAACACACTGGAAATCCACATGGCGACTCTTTCCTTCTTCCTTTTCCCATGACATCTGGATAAAGGGGCGCTGCACATAATTATAGATTACTTCAGACCGACCACCAGGTCTTCTCTTAATTTTTTCTTTACAGGTAGGGTAACCTGAAACAGAAGAAGGCTGTTCTCATGACTGCAGCAAATTGCTCACTTTGGCTTCCATACTTTCTCCTTCCTAACCAGATCAATTTCCCCCCAAATCTAAAAACCCTGCATGAAAACCAGTGGGGAAACAACCAGCCTCTGACTGTGCCCTCCTACCCTCAACCACCTACATGCTCAGTTCCTTCCTGCTCAGGTTAGTAGGTCTTGTCTCTAGAAGGGAAGTAACAAAATATTCTGTCCCTTCTAATGGAAGGGGAAAAGAAGCCTTTAGTTACTGGCAACAACAGAACAAAAACCTTGCTAGGACACAACTACTCAACCCTCTAATTTTGTTGCTCAGAGACTACAAGAGAAGTAGTTAAGGAAACATGGAATATTTAGCCTAAAGAGTAACGGATGGTGCCTAAGTATCTGAAAGGCTGTTGCCTGGAAATGGGAGAGATCATTAGAGTAGCTTCAGATGCTACAACTGGAAGCCAGAGGAAGGCAGATCTATGGAAGAATGTTCTAATGGTAGACAGTTTGATGGGCCGCTCTGGGAAAGGGAGTGATCCCTATCACCCTGTCCCTGGGGCTCCCAAGGAGACAGGAGCACAGCAGAAAGAGGCTTAATAGATGATCTAAAAAAATCTCTTCCCACTTTAAATTCCAATCCAAGTCAGACACAGCGAAGGTCTGATGAGTTCTGTGGACAAGCCTGAAATAGCAAGAACAGCAAAACATGCGTCAGAGACCCATGGTGGGGAGACCAGGATGGCTCCCACACTCTCCAAGAATTAGTCTCAGTTCCTTTCATGGAGACCACAGGTTGGAAGCCATTGCTCAGATCACTTAAAGCATCTGTCAACACATCCAGATATTCCTCAAAGGTATGTAGTGGAATAAACTTAAATTTTGAGTCTCCAAGCTATAGTTTTCAGAAAAGCCCTTCCAGTTCCTACTAAGATTCCCACCAAGACTGACAGTGGAATGGCCCTCCTGCTTGGTGAGCCCACGAGCCACATTTACCCACCACTGTCCTTAGCCCTCACTGCTTCGTCCTGAAGGCAGTAAACCAGAACTTCTACAGCTGCTTTAAAACATTTTAATAGGAACTCTTAAAATCTGGGTAGGAATGCAGTTTTCATGTGTAACTGCTCTCTAGGTCCTCTGGAAGCTGAGTGTTCAGGACATAGCCTGTGGCCATAGGGCCACCCTATCCATAAGCCATGCAAGCTGAGTACTGACTGGGATATTTTTTTACCTTCAATTCCAATGCGTATGTTTTTCAGGCCCCGCTCCTTTAACACTGTTTTAGCAACATCCCGGTTCTCAATATATTTGAAGAATCTATAGAGCTTTGAGCTATAAAGAACTGGAAAAAAAAAGCCTGGGGTTAGTCATAGAGCAAAGTCCTCCATAAGGGGAGGTTGATAAGTGAAAAGAATCCGACTTCTAAAAGGTACACCTCAGCCCTGATGCCAAAAAATTCCAGATGGATCACAGATTAAATTTTAAATAATAAATCAACCACAAGGAAGTTTTTATAGTCTCAGGGTGGAGAAAATCTTTCTGGGTAAGACATAAAATCCAGAAACCATTAAAAAAAAAAAATGGATTCACCTGATGACATAAAAATACAACACCTCTGCTTAGCCAAACTACCATTAACTAAGATAAATAATCAACTGAAAAATATTTGCAACTCTATTACAAAGGACTAATTTCCTTAATATATAAAGAGAGCAGTTTTAAAGAGCTTTCATAAATCACAAAAGACCAACAATTCAATTTTGTAATGGGCAGAAGGTCTGAAGACAGTCAACAGAACAGGAAATTAAAACAACTCTTAAAAATGTAAAAGATGTTTGGTTATATTCATGAAATGAGAAATGCAAATTAAAATTCAAATGAGATGCTGTTTTTTTACCTACCAGACTAGCAAAGATAAAATTTAGTAAAACACTGTTTTGGTAAGGGTGTGGGAAACAAACCTGTCATACATTGTTTTATAAGTATAAACTGGCTCAAATTTTTGGAGGATAATTTGGCAAGATCTATCAGAATTATAAAAGCACAAAGCTTTTGAAACAAATTCCATTTAGAGGACTGTTTTTCTCAAGAGGTAAATACATATATGAAAGGACTATGTTTGAAAAAACATTCCCTACAGCATCATTTAATTTATAGCATAGATGTCACCAACATCTAAATGGTTATATCACTATGACAGTCATGCAATGGAATACTATAAAGCCATAAAGACTATGGAAGCTTTTAATGTAAGATAAGGCCTAGAACAGTCTGTATAATATGGTCCATTTAAGAAAAAGAAAAAACATGTATATAATTTTTTATGTACATGCACTGAATATATCTGGAAGGCTATAACAAGCTGAGGAGGAGCGGGAACAAGACTTTTCAATGCATATCTTTTTATACCATCTATATTATTACTGACTCAAAAGGATTTACAAAGGCAGTGAATGGAGAGAATGCCACTACTGAACATGCTGCCTTAGTACTGACACGGTACCAGACACCAGGGGCAGAAGCTGGAGGTATAACAATGCTCACTATATTCTTGGCAGAAAATTAAGACCAGCAGCTCTAGACTGAACTGATTATCCAGGTCAGTGTGCTCATCGCCAGCTCAACAGTAATACTCATGTTGGTCCTAGGATCTAATTGCTACTCTGGGCAGCTTTGTTTTCTTGCTGAAAACATCTACACCATGCAGGGGGCTCCTACTTTGGGAATATTCCTCCCCCATGGGTGGGGGGTGGTCTTCATCCCAGTCCACAGAATCCTCATCCGTCAGCACAACAATATGGCACTCTCGCTCCCCTTTCTTGGCACAGCCCACCATGATGGGCAGGATCAGCTCTTCGAGGTAGTGATCAAACTGCTTGTGAGCACCATCATTAGACAGTTCATGCAGTAAAGCACCTGGGGAGAGAAAATGCAGGTGTACATCCTCTCTGCCCAAATGCTTGTATTACTAGAGCAAAAAAGACTATGAGGTAATAGCTGTTAACATTGATTAGGTCCTGAGAAGTGGCCCATTTAAAGGCAGAGATTGTTTCTTGCCTCCTGTACTTACTCAGATCTTGACATCGGATAGTGTTGAAGTCAAAGTTAATGCAGAGATAATCGCATGTATCTCTAAGGTCTGGGATAGAAATGCCATCAGGACAATTGATGATACCAGTTTTGTAATAATCCTGTAAAAACATGAGGAAGAAAAAATGTAGGCAAAGAACAAGATGACAAATTACCTCTACACCCCTCTATTCACTCCTGGTTCTGTTAAAGTGATGGGTTACCAGAACTATCACCATGTTGGTTGATTCATCCTTAGATGGCAAAGTTGCTCTTGGCCATCCTGACATTTTTAATCACAATTTGATACCTGACTGAGCTAACACAAGCAAGGACAAAAAAGTTACAGGAATAGAAAATAAAGAAGGAGAGGCAATAACTGGAAAATAGAGACTCTAAAGTCAGTAACCCATTTAGATGCAACTCCCAAATCTTCTGATTGTGCATGCCCCTGGGGAAGAGGATGTAATGAAAGGCTCCTCCATACCAGCACTGTTCGAAATACAGTTGCACTGATTCCTTCAGCAATTTCATACTCTCCCTTCTCATTGGGCCGTGTGAAGTTGTACTCTCTGCCTGGTCCAAACATCCTGCAAGACACCCAGGCACCAGTGTTACCTCCTCCACAGGATTTTTACAGATGGGACCTCTTTTTCATGTCATTCTGGAGGACTCCATTTCATGCTCTCATAGTATTAAGTTAAAAATATACTGCTGGGACCCAAAACCCAAACTGTAATACTCAAGTCTCAGGAAACTCCCTTCAGACAGGAAAATGTGGGACAATTGCTTTCAGCATCTGAGTGCGAAGAGGAATGAAGAAGCAAGTCCTCAAGGTCACCTGAATGGAGCCTGTGACAGCATCTGCAGAGAGCTGGCCCTTGGAAAGTCTCTGGAGTGTGTGAGGCTGCTGCTCGCGCCCTGCCCACTGCCTGGGAACCTGGCCATTCACACCGGTAGCTCAGGGAGACAGGGTGTCTTACACTTTGACCTTCCCTCTTCCTTTCCCATCCAGTATGCTGACATTCCAGTAAACATCAACATTTACCTATCTGGCGTCCCAGTCCTCAATATTTCTGAGTTTTGCTTTTTAATATCTAATCTGATACTTGAATTTCTGTTAGTAGGTACAGATATGGTAATTAGCTTTCCCATTCTAGGTATGTTTTAGTGGTGGAGCTCTGGAAAAAATGCCCTTCCTCAATCCAAGGAGTAACTCTAAGGATGAGAATTTCATGTCAAGTAGAGAAGGAGGGTAGGCATTTGGCTTATCAGCAGTTTTGACACCTATCAGAGACAGGGCTGCTCTGTGCATGAACTCAGAGGTCATAAGGTCACAAGGAGGACATCTTGCTTTTCTTACCTTTTCCCATCCTTCCTTCTTTGCCTTTCTCAGACCCCCTTAAGTAAAACTGGGCCCATGACCTCTACTACTACTACTGCTACTGCATGTCTGCCTATGAGTTGTGGAATGGGAAGCCAGCGAAAGGACAGGACAGGCAGTTATCTTCAGTCAGCCCGACTTGAGTTCTTAATGGGGATTCACTGCCATTTCCTTCCTTAGAAAACCTGCTGTTCAACTGCTCAAAAATGTTATCCTCCACTCTGAACTGGCAGCCTTTCAAAGGTCTGAAAAAGACTCCACATCACGTGCTTTCCAAATCACCACACCATACGTAAGAAATCCATCCTGATAAATGTAGCCTTCAAAGAATGCTAACATTTTTCTGGATCATTCTGGTGGAAGCCTACCTAAGACAGCTATGAATCAGTCTGAGTTCACCTATCATCAGCAGGACTTAAGCCAACAGTTACTTGTCTAGGAGTGGCACAGATTAGCCTTAGTCCGTTTTCAATCTCTCAGCATGTCCCCCTTGTGACTAGTGGCCCACATTTCTAAGTTCACTGGCTAGGCTTATGAATACTATACATAGCCATAAGACAGAACAAATCTAAGTAACTCAGAATTCATGAACTCAGCTGACTAAGCTGACGAACCACCTACAATAAAGAACCAGACTCTCTTCTTAATGGGACAACCCATTCCTAGATTCAAAGAAAGAATGCCATCTACAGAATGCTTGCCTTCTTGTGATCACTACTTTCAGAGGCAACTTGCCTCAACCAACCAGCCTGTCCTGAGGAACACTGACGGGTTGGGCAACAGTCTTGACGATAACAAGGAAGGGAAGTCACATCTGATAAAATATAGGGCCAATTGAAAAATCTCTTCATGTTGTAGTTTAATCTTAATTCAGATGTTTGAGAAAAACATGGGTTTGGTTCTGGCTAAAAATGGTTCATCATAAATTTGTATGTATATATTCAAATATACACATTTGAATAACTGGCTTCCATTTAGCCTACAGTTCAGCAAATTAGTGTCGTCCATTCTGATCTCCAATTCAGTCCAAATCAGCTCAAAATATTGAATGAAGTTAGATTTTTAAATAAGACCTACTTCTAAGCAGTTGAGATTCCTCAAAAGCCAAATGTTTGTGTATACATACACATTATTATTATTTCACTCTTATCCCAATTTGCTCTTCTTCTTATGAGGGTCTACAGTTGGCCAGAGATCTCCCAATGCCCAGCCCAGGCTCAAGAGTACTTCGTGGGCAGAGCTCCTCCTCAAAGGCTCTTCCCATTTCCTAAACTCTAATCCTAAAAAGCTGGGGGTGGGCGATGATGAGAGGAGGATAAGACCATAGTCTGAATGAAGGAGCAGAGTACAGAACATGAACAAACAGTGCAATCATAAAACAACAAAATAGCCAGATATAAAGATTCTGTTCTGGAAAACTTGAATAGTGACAGAGGCATTAGAAAATGGCAATAGAAGACCTACTACCACACAGAACTGTAAACAGAAGCAGGCAAAAGATGTTCAGTAAAATGGCTTTGTTTTTGTATCATGTGGGATATTTCCCTAATTCTGTTTTTTATTGAAAAAAAAAAGAACAGGACATAACAGAACCTTATCCCAGTAACTTTTACCTGTGGACTCAGAAAACATTGCTTGTGTGAGGTTATAAAAATAGTGGATAAAAGAAATTAAGTATCTGACTTCCATTTTTAAGTGAGTTTATAGAAGAATAAGGAATGAGATTCTGCAGATTATTTTCCTTAGTTCTGACTAAAGCACGCCCTTTTGTAGGGGCTTATTTCATTACACTGCCTTTGTAAATACAGTAACCACACCCTCTCCCCCAAATTACCAACATATACAAAACTTCTACATGCTTGGCCTCTCTGTGTAAAAGTATGAAGGTACAAGAATAAACGATGAAATGCTTTTTATCCACACACTTAATGCAAGATAAACAGCAGGTAAGTCTATTCATAGCAAACAGAGTGAATTTGGAAGGAAATTATTATCAATTACCTTCCCAACATGGTATCCGGATGAACGGTGAAAATTTGAGGATTCACAACAAAACGTGTGCCATCTACAAGAAGGGTCACTTTCTCTGGTGCCTGGGAATGAACATTACTGCCAAAGCCCACAGTGCTGTTTCCAAATCGATCTGGAGCAATAAAGGGTTCATGGTTCCGTTTATTCCCACTTTGGAAGCAAGGGCCTTTGATGTCTTCAGGAAGTGGCATTATGTGAGAGAACTGAAGATTTGCTGGCTGAGAGGCATAGTCAAATGAAAGGTCTAAAAGATCATACAAACAAATGAAAATAACTTGACAGCAAAAAGCCTTGGAGGAAAAATAAACCTTGTCTTCCTTAAAAAACAACAAACATTAAACAAACAACCCCAAACGTCTAGGTGTTCACAGGCAAAACCCCTTGCCCCTAGCAAATATGGGGAAAATACAGAACTACAGACTCACAATGGATCCCCCCAAGCTTTCTTCCGTGTGTGTGTGCCGGGGAGAGAGAATGATGGCAGTAATGCCCACACTTCAAAATACTTAAAAATCCTAAAGTAAACTAGTATATGGTTTTAAAAAAGCATTAGAGAAGAATTTCTGTGGAACACCAGCAATCCCCTGCTACACCCCAAAACCTTCTCCAGTCTTGTTTCACAGAGGCAATCACTTTTTAACTTCTGTTTTCACTTCTATTTCTAAATACTCTTGTATTTCCGGGTTTTTTAATTTAAGGAACCTGCTACTTCTATGTGCCAAAACTATTTATTTTTCACATTCTTCAAAAATGCTTCTAAATTTTATTTTCCAGAAAGGATGATAGTCTAATTGTTTTATGCATCACTGTTCCTAGAAATTCACAGAAAAATGCATTTTCACTATGCACAGGAGAATTCTAACAGCTCCAATACCATTCTTTGAACAGGCAGGTCTTGCTCTCAGCAGAAAAGTTCCAGTGCAAATGGCCTTGGACCCAGACTGACTCATGGATCTCTGTTTTTGTTCTAGTGTTACCAGAGAACTGTATTTTTCAGGGTCTTAGTTTTTCTAAACCTGGTTTATCATTACAAAATGAGAATAACGTTCACTCCACCTACCTCACACAATTATTTGACTACCAACTGAAATAAAGAATGTGAGAACACTGATGTGTGCACCACCACATCATTTAAAGCTGGCTTAAAACAAACACATGAAATTTGGATGACACAGAAGACATCAAGGAAAAGTTATTTATTAAAGAATTACCAGAGGATACTTTAAAAAAGGCAGTTCTTTGAAGATATTTTAACGTTAAAAGTTTTTTAACAAAAAATTTAAAACATAAGCACAGAGCTAATGCAATGTATATATCCCATCACCACTGCTAGATTTGGCAAACTTAGTTAACATTTTTCTGCATTTCCTTCAAACATTTTTTGGAAAGGAATAAAATGTTACAGATACAACAATGTCTCACTCCCATCCCTCATTTATTTTAAACTGGGATACAATAGTCCATGATTACTGCCCATGACCTCAGGGAAATTAGTCTGATTTGGGGCACTTAGATAACCAATAAACTGTTAGCTAAAGAACACCTATTTTTTTCCCCATTTGCTTCTAGAGAAAAGGAACCCAAAATCTAGAGAAAAAACCTTATCAGAGTTCACATCCTACAGCTTTTGGTAACTTTTCAGTGTGGCCCTGTGTTTGCACACCAGTGCTTTTCCACACAATCCATAGGTAGCTTAATAGCAAGAGCCCCTTCAATCGCCAAGACAGGCTTTTGCACTCCCAAGTGCTATTCTTAAAAATGGACATGGCATCTAAATTAATAATTCAGTTCTTCCGAACACTTGATATCCTCCTCCCAGCAATGAAGCAAATAACACTATGTTGATTCCTGAATGATGCTTCAGGTTTCACCCTGCTTAGATAGGTGAGCAGGAAGAGAGACTTATGGCACCAGGTCTCCCAGTGAAGCACAGGGTGACAGCCACACTCTGCTGTCAGTTGATAATCCTCTACCTTCTACTAGCATGAACCTGAGCAAGTTGTTACCTAAGCTTTCGAGGCCTCGGCTTCTTCATCTGTAAAAGGAGGGTGAATCGAAGCGGGAAAAGGCAAGCTTCCTGTAAAGTGACATTAAGTATTTTGGGTTTTGTGGGCCAACATAGTATCTGCCATTGTGGCAGGAAAGCAGCCATAAAACAGTATGTAAACAAATGGGCATGATGGGCTTTATTTCAAAATTTTACCCACAAGAACAGGTGGTAGTCCAGATTTTGGCTTGTGTTTGCAGCCCTTGATCTAAAAAAAATGCAGTTCCTAGCACGAGTGCCCAATAAATGGTAACTGCTATCATTTTGCTTTATGAAAAGTTGCTTTTTGAAAAGTCAGAAAGAACCCAACAGTTCATCAGGAGCCTTCAAATCCATTAATTCAGTGATCTTCCAGCCTCCTGAGGTAAAAGGAATAGTAATATCCCTGTTTTCCATATTAAGAAAACGGGGCTCAGAAAGATTTAAGAATCTCACCCATGGTTATAGCTGGTAAGCAGCAGAGCTAGAATTTGAATCTGTTTTCTGACTCTAAGCCCATGGCTCTTGTTCCTACACCATTATCGCTAAGTTAGATGTGCTGATTAAATAAGTGGTGATTTTCTCTGATGGTCAGCTTTATATAATTGTGATATATAAACTAAGCCAATTAGCTGGATATTTTATTTAAATTAAGAACATTTATGCTTTCTGGGTAGAGTGGATGCTCAGGTATCAGAAAGCCTTCTAAATTAAGTCATGATCTAATCACCGTACCATCATTCCTGGGACCTAGAGGATAAGTAAGATTTTGAAGACCAGAAGAAACGAGGCTATTTGTTTCTTTTTCTTGGGCTGCAGCTGGGGTTTCATCCATGAGGCAGCTAGCCTCCTGCCGCAATAACCTGTCGCTCTCACTGCCACGGTGACCTTTCATCCTTCAACTCGTATCCTGAACTGTCTGCTTGATCAGAAAACAATCCTGGAAGACAGGAATATGCGCGCTTTAGAACTCCCCCAGAGCAGTTTTCCAAGGACTTCGATGGCCTGAAAGCTGAACTAAAGAACTGACAGACAGCTCTCATTCTTGGGCCAAGAAGAAACAACGTCTTAAACATTTCTGTGATTTTATGTTGAAAGGAATAGGCTGATTTAAACGGTCTTTACTATATCACTAGGGATGTTGATAACCTTGTTACTAGGGAATAATTTTAAGCTTTATCCACAGACATCAAACCCACTGACTTTGGCCACATTCACAATCAATTCTACATATTAAATGGTGGTGCAATCATTTGGTATTTATACCAGAGATACAAATGAGGGGAAGGAGAATCCAACTGGTCCATTAAAGAAAACCTGCCCATGTATTTTTAAAAATCAAGGCACACAGTCTTGCAACAATTAAGCACTAAGAAATGGAAATCAAAACCACAATGCTAGCATAAGAGTTGCAACTAGAAGTTACCTGTACTAAAAACAAAAAAGCAAAATTTGACTTAAAAGTGCCCAAGTTCTCCTTTGTAAGTTCTTTCTTTCACTTTCTATACCTTATGCTCAACCTCCAACCCCCACGTCAAAATTAGACCAAGAAGTCACCAGCTAGAAGGCCGACTCTCCTCAGGTGGTGCCCAGTCATGATGAACACCGAGTCACTGCCACGTGCAAAGCCTCTGTGGATCAGGCAGAATGCAGGCCCCACATCGGGCCTTCATGCCTTTCTGCCAGGTAGTCAGGCTTCATCTCTGAGGACTGCCCAACTACTGAAAACATTCCTCAAGTTCATCCTACTTAGCACTTTCTGGTGGTGTTCTGGTGGAAGAATCATTTCACATCACACCAGCAATTTTTATGCATATGGCTTGCATGCCAACACACTTTGAGGAAGAAGTTATGTCTTTAAGGGCGGTGACGTGTTTTAATACTCTGAATTTCCTGACATGCAAGCATGCAGAGTGCCAATAAACATTAGTAATGTGAATTAAACTGTGGATCCCTTCATTACCTGTCCTAATACATTTTTTAGAATAAAACTGATCAGTTAGTCCTGTTTTGAAATATATGTATAACTTGAAATATAAAAAATGGCCACTTTGGAAAGATGAGTCAATACATGTGCCTGAAAACAAGTGATTTTAGTGATGAGATACTTTCAGTTGATGAAATCTTTTGTTTTCAGACAATGGCTCTGGCAACATCAGGCAAATTGAGAGAATAAAATAGATATTCTCATAGAAAACCTGTCGTGTGGCTACAGCTTCTTCAGGATTACCCTTCCTCAAAGAAAAAAACTATTTACACACAAAAAAAGGAGCCACTTAAAACTGATCCCCAGCAAATGGGGAGGTCAAACAGAACCACCACTGTCCTCAAGTTTGATTCAGAAGACGTCAAAATCAGGTCTACAGAACAGGAGAAAGAGGATCCATGGAACTGGGAAGAACATTATTACCAACACTGCAAAGACCAAAAGGGGGTCTGCTTCTTTAGGTTTAGTCGGTTTTGAAGCACAGCTGCCCTTTGAACAACATGGGTTTGAACTGTATGGCTCCACTTATATGTAGAGTTTTTTCAATAAATATACTGGGAATTTTTTTGGAGATTTGTGACAATTTGAAAAAAGTTTCTTTGTTCTAGCTTATTTTAAGATACAGTATACAATACATATAATGTACAAAATTATGTGTTAATGGACTGTTTATATTATTGGTAAGGCTTCAGCTCAACAGCAGCCTTTAGTTTAGTTTTGGGGGAGTCAAAGTTATATGTGAATTTTTGGCCTCATGGGGGTAAGCACCCCTAAGCCCCACATTGCTCAGCCTATAGCTGCTGGTTTTCGACTCTTCGCTAAGCCACTCAAGAACCAAGTTCAAACTTCCCTGTATTGCTCTCCAAAAGATCTCTTGCACCAAAATACAGTAAGCTTGAATAAGCCTTTCTCTTTAGAATTTGTTCAGACTGTTAGTATTAGTTATTCCATGTATTTCTTATAATGTGTAAAAAAGTTTCATTATAATGGATTAGAATGAAAACACTTCTTCCTAGTCTGTAGTACTAAGACTTAAAACTCAGTTTAACTTGTATATAGTGAGTTAATAAATAGAAAGATATACTTGGAAGTTAACAGGGTAGATATCTCCAATGAGGGGGAAAAAAACTTGCTGAGCACTGAAGAGGCATTTTATTTTTATTTAGTTAATTTTTATTACAAATAATACATGAATATTTCCCTTTAGGACCCTTTATCATCACTCCCAATCCCAGTCACTTCTCCACGTGACTATCACTATTTGCTTGGTATGAATCCTTCTGACTTTATAAAAATGCATTTATACTACACAGATATACTCATAAAAGCATATAGTTTTAAAAAACACAAACTATATACACTATATGCATCATTCTCATTCTGTAATGTTTTTCTAAATAAATGTGGAGATCCATCCATGTTGGAAGATCTAATCTAGTTCACTCCTTAACTGCTGTGTAATATTCTGTGATTCCACTTTCCCATCTACAGGTGTTTCAGTTGTTTCTTAACTATTACAAACAATGCTTCAGTGAACAAGATCAGAATGTACTATGAAACTCCAAGAGTGAACCAGTTTGCTGAGTTTTGTCAAATGGATTTGGCTTCAGAACCCCTTTTTTTAAGAAACTGTTTCAGGATTAATGCTCAGTGGCACACACTTTAAGTCACCTAATCCAACATTTCCCAAAGTCCCCTATGAACTAATTCTTTTATAATCCTAGGATGGTAGAACAAAACATTCTTGGCCTATGAAACCTAAAAAAGTGAACTGACTGACACCTAATTCTTCAGCATATACCAGAGAGGCCAGTTTAAGCATAACAGCAAGGGTTACTCCCCTTCCAGGACAGATGTTTCATTCATGTGTACTTCATTGCCTACTGAGTTCAATTCTGTAACCATACCCCCAGTGAATCTTGGTCCTCAGAACAGATCTAAGGAAAAAAGAGAGAAAGAGAGGGAAGAGGGGAAAGAGGGGAAATAAAAGAAATAAGCAAAGCACTTCAATAATATACTTCTTTATTGCGACAAATCTATTTTTGGCCAACACAGTCCTAGCACACCAAACAGTAACTGGAGAGACGGCTTCAGAAAATAACTGGGAGTCAGAAATATATTAATGGACTCAGAAGCAAAGAAAACTTAACATCCAACAAGCCAGCTTGAACTTCACTTCCACATAGTATGTGAAAGCACTATTATACATTCTAAAGAGCTACACAAATACATGTTTTTATTATTTAACTTTGCAGGCCTCCTATGAAGGCCCATAGTTTGTCAAGTCCTGACCTGTAACCACAAAGCCATTTAGCATCATAATCTCCCCATCTTGGAAAGTTTACATACAATATTTGATAAATGGAATTATTTCTCTCTACATATTCTTTGCACCTAAAAACGGACGCACAGCAGAACACCAAAGCCAGCTCATGGATGTCCTGCAATGTTTCTCTCTCTCTCAAATCAGTAAATTAAATGCAATTTTAATTAAAAAAAAAAACTATGAAGGAAAGACAGTGGGACAGAATGGATTGCAGCACCAGCTCTGGACTAAGAAAGAGCAGTAATTGGCAATATGACCTTTGGCAAATTCCTTAACTTTTCTAAGCCTCAGTTTCTCCATATGTAAAATCTTCCCTACCTCACAGGCTTCTGCAAGGATTAAATGAGAAAATGAATGTACATTATTTGGCTCAGTAATTGGCACTTGATAAATACTCATTATTATTACATAAACTATATTATTATATAAATACAATTATGATTCATAAGGTAACATGACCAGGCCTTAGTGATCACATGTAAGTCATGAGAGAAAGGAAATCAGGACTGACAGGCAGGTTTTCACAAAGTGATAAACAGATAAGCACAAATTTTAAAAAAGAAATAGGTTTGAAGTAAAAGACAATTATTCTGTTTTTAGATATGTTAAGGAATTTATACGATATCCAAAATAGTTTAAAGGTGATAAAAGCCATTCTGAGTTTTCAAAACCAATGTTGAGTGAAAATACAACAGGTTTACATACTTTAACTCTGGGTATGTAAACTGATCTAACCAGGGTTATAATAAAACAGAGTAAGTTAAACTTCAGTCAGAACTCATCAGTCATCTAGTGAATGGTTCTTCATCTTTCTGTTGTCATGAATAGCCTGAGAATCTGAAGAAAACTTCAGACCTTCTCACAAATCTTTGAAAATAAAATTGTGCAACAATGAGTTATGAAGCCGCTAACCCATTCCCCTCAAGGGGCGCTGAGATACAATTAGGCTGAGTTTCTGCTAATTAGAAGCAAAGCCAAACCAAAACCCAGGCTCTCAATTCCTCATTTTTTCCTCCATTATTACCAGCAACTTGAAATGATTCTTTCATATTTACATTTAGCCACTCATGCAGCATCAAAATCACACACACACAAACACAATTCAGATTGTACCAACTGCAGCTTGTAGCCCTCATCAGGCTCTCCAGCTCCAGTGGCATTTCCCAAAAGCTAATTGTTTCCCACTTATGCTGACAGAACTGGCACTCAAAATAAGTAGAAGCATTGGTTGTGGGTTCTCTGTGTTTGTTTTTGTTGTTTCTCTTTTCTATATACATATATATATATGTGTTGTTTTACTTTTTAAAAGCTTTTTTTCCCAATGGGAACTCGTTTCTTTAAATGCAAAGAATGCTGTTACAATTTAACTTCTATAAATACTACTGCTACCTACCGTGTACAAGGCAGTAAAGATACAAAAATATCTAAGAATTCTAAAGTTATCCACTAAAAGTAGAGCAAATAAAATTTTAAGCAAAGGGGAAAAAAAGGGATGCACTGGTTTCTCCCTAGAACATAATCTTGAGTATTAATACAAAATAACCTTGATATAATTAAGTCTATACATTTTCTTCTTACTTGCAATTTCCTCTCATCAATTATTTCTGAAGAGCACAAGATAATTACA